AGTCCGCTGATTGGATCGTAACACCTACCAGGCCCGACTACGGAGCTCTCCACAGCACCACGGCTCCTTCATTTTCACGGGCCGTCTCATGGAGATGGAAACATGGCAGAGCCTTCCTCGTCTGGACTTGAGTTTCCCTGGTAAGTGGCGTCCTTCCCGTCCTCCTTTCCTTCTTCCACAAAAACAACAACAACTATGGAAGTAGGCATGTTGCTAGTTCCGGACAATCTCGCAGCCCCGCATCGGGATTTGCCTCGGGGTGTCCTCAGAAGAACTCCTTCTTTCCAGAGAGCAGGGCCGGGACAACGATGACACGGTAAGTAGCGGATATGGCAGAATACCAGACGAACAATGGGCACATTAGGTACACTTGCCAACCTACGCAAAGAACAAGAGCCTGAGAAGAGGAACGCAGCGACTGAATTGTTCCGAGTCCACTGAGCAGGAAAATTGCAGTTGTGATTGAGGATGAAAGGATGGGTAATTTGAGTTGATCTATGATCGCAGTGATCCATCAATGTTGATTTTGACGAAATCTCCAATGCAGTGCTTGGTCGTTCTGGTTTGCTTGTCGGCACATCCCGTCATGCATATTTCCAACGCTGCGGCGAAAGTTCGAGGTGGAAAAAAAGCCTCTTGCTGCAAAACATGCAGGAGACGAGCAGCATAGAGGCGGGTAGATTTCAGCAGCCTCCCAAGCAGGGTGATGTGTCTGAATCCAGGAAACTCGTTCAGACCCTCAAAGTTTCCTAACAAGAAACATATCGGGCTCGGGGGGCTTCATGATTTCAGGTCAGATATTGAGGTTTCCACGCCGGGACACCACGCTACAACACCTTGTATGTTGGACATATCCCAAGGCAAAACCCGCCTTTATGTTTTTTTTTGTCTCTTCCTTTTCTTCTTCTTCCTCTTTCTTTTCTCCTCCTCCTTTGCGTTTCCTCATCAGCTATAATAACCTTGAATTCAGCCCATAGCTTCATCACTTATTCGAGCCCTTGTGCCGTTGACCGTCCTGGTGAGGCCGTTCTGCGATCCGCAGACGCAAATGCATATGTGGACATGGACATAAGCACATGCACACGCATTTTGAGGAAGTAAATCTGGGAATTTGCAATCATGGATTGCAGTCTGCATTTTGTTTCTCGCTCCGATCTAACTCGCCACGTGCTCAAGGTCCAAATCACCTGTTTTCCTCCTGTTGAGCATTGAATGCATGCAGTGACAATTTACCTGCATCACACATCGATCCAGACACGTTTCCCCAACTCTTACGGCCAGCAGTACTTGAGGAGGTCTTCCAACCTCATGTCTTACCTACACTTCTTTTCTTCTCAACCAATACCATTCTTTCGTCAATGCTCGTTTTCCATCACCACAGCCAACACAGCCACAATTGACACCACCACGATAAAGACAGTCACACCAAGCAACAACCATAAACATTCCGTCAACAATAATACTATTCAACATGAACGAAATGGAAATCGACGGAAGCTCCTCTCAAGACGCCTATGCCCCGGCGGAAACCACCTCAAAGCCAACTGAACCCGCTCCCTCTGAAGTGAGAAGATGGGTTGACTCTTTCTGGCCTTTTTTCACTCTTGATGAAGACAACGGAAGCTCATCCCATCACGACTCCCCGACGGAGTCCTCCTCAAAGCCAAGTGACGCGGTTGTCTCTGAACTGGGAAGCCCGCGTACCTCTTCCTCGTCTGCACCGTCTGGCGATCCTACCCAACAGGCACCGCCACCACCTCTCATTTACCCCGGTGAGCCGGGATCGCCAGATGTTCAAGAACAGAAATCCGCGTCTCTCGTTTCTGCAGACCAGCTTCTCATTACCGGATTCCTTCACAACCTTCTTCACCCCGAAGTTTTCTTGCCTCCGTCCGAAGGGCAGGACCAGGACCCGTCCGCGCTTGCCCTTTTTGCAGCCCGCAAGGCTTACAATGGGGTATACCTTGAATGTCTCGCCGTGCTGTACAAAGCGCAGAACCAGAACCAGGAGGCACTGTTCATATCTGCAAATGAGTCAAAGACAGACCCAGCTATAGAAAGCGGGTCAATTGCACGGGAAGAGGAGTCAACAAACACAACAAGCGGCACGAGCACGTCGAGCAATAATGAGAGAGACGCGCTTTCTACGCCTCTTCCGCACCTGCAGCTCCCGAGCAGCGACGAGCAAGAGGGCCACTCAAAACTTGTGCAAGAGAAGAAGAGCAAAGACGAACTCTGGCAAGGGCTCTACGACCAGCGAGACAAGATCGAGCAGGACTACGAGCAAGTGAAGGCAGACATCTACAAGAAGTTTGAAGAGAAGAATGACGCACGTATGCGATATCGGTCCAAGAACACGAGGTGGAAAGAGCTGAGGGAGGAGCTGGATGAGATGACCAGGCGGATAATTTCGCGGAGAGCGGGAGAGAAGCGGTGGAGCGAGGAGGAGGAGGGGAAGCATGAAGACAAAGGTTCGGAGGAAGATAAAAGCAAAGATAAACACGAGGGGGAAGACGAAAAAGCAGCCAGGTACCGCAGGACTCACATAATGGAGACGAGCAGGATATTTGATGATGAATACATGGCACTATATGAGGGTGAGAGGAACCAGCGTGGGAAACATGCAGCTTGGCTGTCCAGCATAGAAAGAAGGAGAGCGAAGGCTTTGCGGGAGGCCAAATGGGCGTATGACGAGATTCTGAAATTGTATAAAACTGTTGACGAGCGTAATGCTCTATGGATGTTGAGATCCATGGGTCTTTAGGTAACCTACCTTACCACTCAAGCATGTTTTGCAGGTGTAAAACTGAGGTAATAGCAGGGCAGGCGTAATATGGAATTCGGAATCTAAGTCGCTGCCTGGTTCGGCACAAGATTTGTTAATGCAATAGCGCCTTTCCATTACGCAGAGACCATCAGTGATCGTGAAATCAACACTGCTTCGGGTCTTCCCTCTACCAAAATCAAAGCTGGCCCATCGGACACTCCTTCCTCCAGTGCGGAAATCAAACTACAAATAAAGGAAGATAATGCCGCCTTTTCCTCTCCGATCTGAAAATAATCGGAACATAAACCTTTACTCAGTATTTTGATCAAAGAAAGACAGCTTTAAGTGGCAATACGCGACATATTTCCCACTCCAACGCCAGGCCCCGGAACTCCCCCGACCACGACCGGCTCCCGCCGGTTCCGCATTTACAAGCAGCGAGATGCAGAGTTCGCTGCAACTACTGGTTTTGTTATACATATACATATGACCTTTTGACAGACATGCAGGAATCTGATTCTGCAGATGTCGTCCTTGATAACTGCTGCCGAGGGATTTCTTAGGACGCAATGCATGGCGAGCATCGCACATAAAACAATTTTGGAACCATCCAGCACCAGCATTGCCCGCTACAGCTCATAAAATGAAAGGCTCAAACCCCAAGGTACTGATCATTCCCTTCTTCCCAACCTCCTTTTCCTTGACTTCCTTCCAACCTCTCCCCAACACTTGGTTCTTCCCTACACCTTTATATCCACTCCGGAAGACAACCGGATACCGCAACACCAACTGACCCAGCCCAAACTCTCTGTTATGCAAGGCAAAAGACGGCCGTGAGCCCTACGAGAACCCGCGCTAACCGGGCCATCAGATGTCATACCCTACAGGACCCCCTCCTAACGACCCGGCCCTGCTTAACAGCAACGAGCCCAGGTACAGGTACAACAATGGGTACGGCAACAGGACCTCACTCCCACCCCCAGTCAACTCAAACTACCGCTCAACTCTCACTCCCTCAGTTTGGAGAGCTTCGTCCGTCGAACCGTACTCCAGCCGCGACACACAGCACAAACATGTTCATTACGCCGAGAGACCCCCGGTCAATTCAAACTACCCCTCCGCTCTCACTCCCACAGATCGGGGCGCTTCGTCCATTGAACCATGCTCCAGCCGCGACCCACGACACCAGTCTGTTCATTACACCAGGAGACCCCAGTCAACTCAGACTACCGCTCCCCTGTCTCTTCCGTAGACCGGGGCGCTTCGTCCATAGAACCATGCTCCAGCCGCGACACACGACACCAGCCTGTTCATTGCAACGAGAGACCCCCAGTTAGGCACCATCCGGACCCTATTCGTAACTCCTTCCAACAAGACGTCTACAACGGCTTTTTTTCTCGCGCAAGCCTTGTCCCGACCCCCTCCAAGCCCTCTAACGTGGAGGAATTGAGCGGACATAACGTGCCTTACCTGCCGCTTCATGTTCATCCTTTTACGCCTTTGGCTCCCCGTGTCAATCGTCTTGTGGTACCACCAATCGTTACCCCCGCTCAGCAGCAGGGGGGGCAAGGGGAAGCCGGGGGTTCTTCATCCAAGGGCGCCGCCACCACGGTGGATTTTAGCCATCACCACGACTACAGTGAACTGGGGGACTTCGCTAGAAGGTTGATCAGAGAGGACAGCGAATGGAGAGAACACATGGCACATGGAGAAGCGGCACGACACCAGGAACCGGTGCACCAAGCTAAAAGTTTGAACAGAGATGACAGCAGAGTGACGGAAGATACATATATGGAACAAGAGGGAGGGCACAATACGAGGAAGCGGATAGAAGCATGGATAGAAGCGTCAAAAAGAAGCAAGAAAGGGCGGGACGCCACGACCAATATGGACACTGAAGGGTAAGACGATTACGTCCATTGAAGCTCCAACTTAGTGATTCTTCGACTGCGGTATGGACGGCTGGGAAGAAGTACCTCCGATACCTCCACATTTACCTCTGCGTTTACCTCTACCCCTGGGTAACTAGCAACGGTTATCACAGCAAGAGGGCAGACGCGCAAACCCACAGCCCCCTTCGGATCTCAAAAGACAGAACCCACGAACACGAATACGAACACGGACACGAACATGTCCCGGCAAAGCTCAGCGACGGGAAACCCATTGGGGCTTCGAATACACAGACACCGCTAGAAGGCATTGCATTTCATTTTTGGAAAGCGGAGCCTATAAGGGAGGATACCTTATCTAACGAAGAGACAGACAAGCAATACCATGACACTAGTCGCAATTACTCTTAAGGAAACTCCGTTGGTATTGTCTCCCACGAACAGGTACCTCTATGCAATGTTTTTGTGTACCTACCTACCTACAGACTTTTATGGAACCAGAAGGTATTGGGACAGGACGGACCTGGCATCATCACGCGATACTTTCGGGTCGCTGAGGGGTGGCAGTGTATGGGCGAATAGGAGTGCGAGGAGTTTACCTCTACCTGTACTGGATACCTGGCAGCGGATCTCCCTCATATACTGGCGGCTCGCCCACTGGGCGATTCGATTACAAGTGTTGGGCCGCGTTTACGCTATGGGCAACACATGATTTACATTGGCAATAGGCCTCGGTTTGCCCTCGGATTAATGGTTTTGGTGGACAATTAGGGCACTGCTCTTAATTTTGTATGCTAGACTCACCGGTGCGGCACGTCTCATGCCCTACGGGAGGCGGAAGTAGACGTTAAAAATAACAACAACAACAACAACCTCGCAGCGGATTGAGGAGATTGTTATGTTTACCCCGAATCATGTGCCAGCGCCTAGTGTTCATCATTAGTCCCCGATACCTACTCTCGCAGGAGAATGGTCCTGACGGGCGCACCGTTGGCAATGAAGGGTTGGGAAATGACAGGCATACATACCTTTAGGAGTAGCGTGAACAGTTGTTAGCTCCATGTCCATAGCAGAGACATGGAGGATCTCGCTACCTTAAAGCGGTCATAGTGCCCGCCCGGTTTTGGTGTCAACCATCTTTCTCTAGGTCATGTTACATACACTAAGGTACCTACGTAAGACTCTCTATCACGCAATAAAGGCAACGCATCGCGAAGCTCACCTCCGACTTGAGCGCACCTTACATCCAGTCTGCATCCATGGCGAGTTTGCAACTGTAAGTACCAACACCCTATTCCGCTTCAATTGACGTACATTCCATTTCTTTCGACACATTTCCGTACAAGGACCGTGTAGAAAGACTTGTTCTCGACAAGACAAACGCAACCCAAAGAAAACATCCAATGACAGGAAATAACAAGGAAAGGGGGAAGAAACCTAGAAAGAGCAAGAAATCTCCGAAGGAGGCCGCTATCTACAATTCCCTCCAAAGAGTCAGGGTTCACTAGGTACACAAATCCCATACAAACTCTGTAAATACACTTGCGCACAAAACAGCACCACACCACGAAAGGCATTGATCTAAAGAATTAAGAGTGTAACTATGGGATCGAGCCTGCGATTGAGCTCCCTTTCTTCTCAAACGAGTGGGCTATGCGCTTCGTCGCGATGAAACTAGTCCAAAGTACCTACCCTAGGTAGTCAAAAATCAACATTCTCAGACTGGACACTGGGATGCAAGACCCCCAATATAACAATTGAGGAGTTATATACGCCAGTACAATATTCACATAGGCATTTATCCCTCGTATCGGATAAATTGATTCAATCAGTGAAATAGTCATTGTTTTATCGCTGGTTGTTGTCGGAGGCCCCTTTCTCTCATTGAACCCAGACTTTTTGGACCCCACTGTAACCAACCGGGACACCACTGCAGTTTCGACCTCCCTGGTCTTATCTTTCTCTCTTCGTGCATCACCATCAAAGCTTTCCACCACTCAACCACTTTTCTCTCGCAAGACATCCAATCCAGTCACAAAGTCACGGCTCCCACACTCCGCCGTTCCCATCACTGATCAACAAAATGCAGCAGAAAGTTCGAGTGCTTGTCTTTAATGGAGCTGATGCTATCACGGGCAAATTCGGTCGCTTGAATGCCTGTTCACTACAGAATATCTGGTTGTAGTAGAAGTGAAGGACAGAAGGAGGCGTTCAAAGCAACGATCCGCACAAAGGTCTGGTACCAATGGAGGGCCGCAACCTTTGCAACCAGTTTGAGTATCGCGGGAGCCCTGGATATGAGCAGGGGAAAGGTTTCCATACCTACGCTTCAGTTGACGCGGAAGACCCAACTGGGAACAAGAAATACTGCAACATATGGCCAGCCAGACATGGATTGCCTCCGTTGTTGTTCAGCACCTGCAATGGTAACAGGACGGGCCATCCGAATGTCATAACGCTGGACAAAGATTGATGTGGGTGCGTGCATGGTGTCAGCCCCAAAGGCTCTCTGTCCACATTCCACCTAGAGTACCTACCTAGTCTGTAGACGTGATGCTATCAATGCGTTCGGGGAACTTGTCAACACCAAAACAAAAGCACAACTGCAAGACGTCCCAAAAAAAAAACACCAAAAAATAGACCTAATGAGTTTGATCAAACTCACGCTGATGCCCACAGCCAGAATCGAACTGACGACCTCATCATTACTAGTGATGCGCTCTACCACTGAGCCATGCGGGCTTTGATGGTTATCCTCGCGTGGAGGAGGATATTTTATCCCTCATTCTCCACCGGGTGCGGAGCCTCCGCCGGTCACTAGGCCGACGACGACGACCTGTTCCGATCCAATAAGGGATCACTTATGTAAGCAGTTAGATAGACCAATCAGAGCCGCGGCCACGGCCAAGGGGGTGGCCGGGAATGGCCTCACCGGCGCAACGGCGTATACTGGGCTCTTCAACAAGCAATAGCTATCACAATCTACCAGTACCTTTCGGCTACTACTCTGTTACTCTATTGTTCTATCCCAGCGATAATACTCCTGTGCTTGTAACGGTTCGTCACACGACCCCGGCTAAGGCGACCCCGGCCGGGACCCCGACCGGGACCCCGACCGAAAATGATAACAAGAAAAGAGAAAGGTCCAGGCAGAACACGCTAACTTTGTTGAAGAGAAGTTGCTGGCTGGGTCGTCCCACGTACTCGCTGGTTTGAATGAACACATTCAGGTCCAGGGTCGGGGTTTATTAGAGAGAAAAGTCAACAAACCAACCGATTAAGTCACCCCCTTTCTACCCATCTCCCTCTCCCGCTCAAACAGCGCCATACTCACGAGAACGTTATCAGTCATCTCTCGCGGTCGTATCCTGAAAGTCTTCCAGTCCTTGATTCAAGCACGAGGACGGTCTGGTCCGACAAAGAATTTGAAATACCCGTACCAGGGGGGTGGAGCGACGACGATGCCGTTGGGCAGGTCTTGGTACAATTCCTCCATCCACTCGATTGCTCTTTCGCGGAGAAAGTCTTCATCATGACCCAAGCCCAAGGAGTCTGGTGGAGTAGACATGTTGTCCGGCTGGTTATTTAGCCATTTGTAGATCAACCTTTCTTCCTTGGCGTCGATAAGTGGGTGGACTTCATTGAACATGGAGTCGTTAGTGTCGTAAGAGCCGTAAGAGTGTGACGAACCGTTACAAGCACAGGAGTACTATCGCTGGGATAGAGGAATAGAGTAACGGAGTAGTAGCCGAAAGGTACTGGTAGATTGTGATAGCTATTGCTTGCTGAGGAGCCCTATATAAGAGGTCTGGGAGACTTCTTATATAAGGGTCCTCTATGGTGCGCCGCTGCGCCGCTGCCGCGGCGCCAGTACTGCGGCGCCCTCCTTATTGGTATATGTAGCTAATTACATAAGTGATCCCTTATTGGATCGTAACAAAGAGCCGTTAGAGTTGTTAGAGTCGCCATGGTCGTCAGAGTCCGCGTACGCATTTGGATTTGTATCCTCCATGTGCGCCTCCTCTTCGTCTTCATCCTGCTCGTCTTTTTGATCTTCATCCTCGTCCCCCTCGCCTTCGTCGTCTTCGTCGTCTTCAGGATAGTAAAGCTCACTGTTATTTGTATTAGGCGGGGTGTTCTTAGAAGATGGTGGAATGCCGTCGCTCATGCTCTGGTCTTCCTTTTGGTCGGAATCCGTATCATTGTCCGCGTGTTCGTCGCCAGCAAAATACCCCTTTGAAGGAGAAGGCCATAAACGAGGACGAAGTCGGTATGCCATTATCTGAAGAGAATTTCAACCAATTCCACTTGGTAGAGTACAGTGGTTGCAGGATAACGGCGAGATCGTCGCTGCACGCAAACGTTTTTTTCGTGAGGGTGTGTGGTCAAGCCTTCCTTCCTGTCCGACTAAGTTTGTTGGTGATAAAATCGTTCAGTTGTTCGCGGTAATCAAATAACCCAGAGTGTTAGCGGCGTAAGTTGTTGGAAGGTATTTCTGTGAATAATTTCGAAGAACGAAAGAGTCCCAAAAGGTGTTGGATGGGGCGGCCTTGCGTGACGTGTCGAAGACTCTTGAACAACAATACTGTGCAGGAAATTTTGGTGGGAGAATTGTGAAAGCAAGATGAGCAAAGAAATGGAAGCGCGTGTGACGTGAATAGGAGCATAGCAAAGAGCCTCAACTTAATTTGAACTGTCGCCTGTGCAACAGATCATGTTCGTCCGCCGTCAGCCGGCAACCTGCTTGTAACCTGCCCGGCGCCAGCCCGACAACCGTACCCCCAAGCCTTACGACCGACGACAAAAGCAGTGAACCTGAAATCCGCACCAACAAACGTGTCAAGGGTTATGATAGGAGTGTGTCCGTGTAAACAACGAACGCAACACCGAAGGATAAGCAACAACAGCCAAAGCGACGTCCATGGCGACGGGTACTACAACCACTGAGTCCGCCCGCGCCACGTCCCAGGAACCCAAGTCCCCGTTTCTTGGTACGACGTCCAAGAGAGCGAGCAGAGGCTCAACCTCCACGTTACAAGCCCCGAACTTCCTCGCCAGTGTAAGCATTCAGAAAGAGAAAAAAGTGGAGAGGAGACGAGGCCGACGAAGGTTGTCAAGGATGTGCATGTATGTAGAGTACGGACGATGGAGCATCTTAAACAGAGCAGCACGCGACAATCGACGTGGGTGTTGGCTGTTATTGAAGGAAGGCATGCAGTGAAAATGTAGTCTTGTTCAGTCATGGCAATGGCGTGAGTCAAACTGGGTAATATCGAACAATTCTTTTTTTTGGCGTTCCGGGGCCTCAAGGGACTAGGATTGCGAAGACAAACAGGGCAAACAGGATATTTGAGAGAATGTATGACAGTTTAGTCTGCTCAAGAAACAAAGCAGCTAAAGTGACGAGTGGGTCAGACGAACAAATTACCAACAGAAGTAAAACATGAAACGATTCCATAGGACGGTATCAAGACCTTGCTTGATAACGTTTTGCGGACCGTCTTGTAGCCTTGCTACTTACTGGGACCAATGCAGTTCGTTCCTTCCGGAACAACCCCCCACTTCTCTCTGACCAACCTCTCCTCACTCCCCCCTTTGTTTTACGTCCAACTACTCGGTATCCATATCTGCGTCCTCGTCATCATAACCTCCCATGCCGTGATCCCTTGCCCACTTCTTTCTCTGAGAAACGGTCATCGCGGCCAGCCGGTCATTAACCAACTGGCGCGGACGAACTCCACCCGAGAAGAAATTCTTGATCCAAATCTTGGGACGAGGAGGGTGGAAACGGGTACCGATGTACCACGGTGGAGGGTAAACAACGGTGCCCTTGGGATCATTACGGGAGTTCTCTTCCATCCAACGGATGGCTTGGCGTCGGAGCTCCGGTTCTGGGAGCGAGTTGTAATACTCGATGTCACACATGGCGGCGTAAAATTCCCCTTCGTATCTGCTGATGACTCGGTTGGAGCGAGAAGGTTCTTTGGTGACAGAGTTGAAGTCTTCGTCGTCGGAGTCCAACTCAAAGTCGGAATCGAAGAGTTCGTCGTCGATGTCGCTTTTCGACAGCCCAGGTTCGAGTGAGGACGCGAAGATGGGCCTGCGAGTGCTTCTGTTGAGGGCGTACTGAAGATCGTGGGCGAGTTGAAGGCGATTGCCGGCTGTGTTCTGGGACTCAATGTCCATGGGTTCAGACACAGTTGTTTCACCTTCCGATACGTCAGGTTCGAGAGGGGCTGAGATGGGTACTCGTATGTTTCTGTCGAGAGCGCGCGCAAGATCTTCCGAAAGTTGTACGTGGTTGTTGGCTCCATCTTGGGACTCAATGTCCATAGGTTCAGACACAGTCGTTTTGCCTTCCGACTCCTGGCCTTTGTGATGTGACTCGACGAATTTCTCCGAGGACGTGTCTAGCTGGCTCAGAGAATGGTAACTCGGCTTGAACGGGGGGTCTTCGCGCTCGACGGTCCTCTGACGCTTGTGGTTGCGGTGGCGGGGTCGGTCGGTGGTGTTAAAAGAGGGTGACTTTCTCTTTGAGGGAGAGGGAGGAGTGGCAGGAGGCTCGATTTCCATTTTAACGTCACGTGAAGCCGCTGTCTACAGTGGCTGTTAGCGGCAATTCAGCCTCGCGACAGACGTTGAAAGACGTTTATCGTACCTTGAAGATTTAGCCCGTAATGCCAGATGTCATTTGACAAGAAAGAGGACGCGCAAAGACGGAAATGACAATGTGACTGGGTTACAAATAGTGACGCGACAAGGACCAGAAGTGAAGAGTGCTGTAAAACTGAGAAGGCACTAACGAGGTGTCAAAAGGCTCTGGAAGGTTCTGCTGAATTCCTGGTGATAATTGGTCGAATGAATGGTTGCAAGGAAAGAAGAGTAGAAGATGCAACAGTTTTCCGGGCGCGATCATGGAAGTGGCACAAATAACTACCCCGGGCGGGGAGCAAGCCATGGGAGGTTCGAGGGTCGGTCGCCAAGCAACAAACCCAGGCCGGTGAAAAAGTGGGAAGTCACTGTCAGTGAAGGGTGCCTTCCAGAGACCAGAATTGCAAACCTGAAAATGAAGGGACGGCATGGTAACTTTCCACAAGTACCCACTTGTAGCCAGAACTTTGAGAGGTATTAACAGACACAGCACAGTGTAGCAGTGTTGACATCGGCAACGAGAGCACGAGCGTGCGAGAGCTCGACACGTAAGCTGATCGGCTCTACGGCGTCAGACGCAGCCGGCAAGCTTGTATCCATGGGCGCGGATGTATTAATGTTAGAGAACGACACTTGCCCAATATTGGCCCTTGATTTGGCATTCACACTGATGACTCTGTTTCGATTCTTTCATCCTTCCCTACTGAATCTCCTATTGCTGTTTCATTCCTCCGCCCTCTTTTTTCTTTTATACCTCCATTTACTCTGCCCTATATCAAGCAACTTACTTCCATATGGTTCCCCACCCCTTTAGTACTCCACAACCACATCATATAATTTTAGTTTCCTTTGCTGTGTTAAGGCCAACGACACTCCACTTACCCCGCGATCATGTCGTCGGTCCATTTGGGCGAGCGCACGTTTCCGGTAATCCAATCCTTGATCCACATACAGGGACACTCCGGGACCTTGCCGGAGTCAGATTTGTGTGACGAACCGTTACAAGCACAGGAGTATTATCGCTGGGATAGAACAATAGAGTAACAGTGTAGTAGCCAAAAGGTACTGGTAGATTGTGATAGCTATTGCTTGCTGAAGATCCGGTAACAAGAGGCCTGGGAAGGCCTTCTTTTATACCGGCCTTCCTGGACCCGACATACCGGACCCGTGGACCCGAAGCCTTCGGGCCTTCGGGTCCAATCTGATTGGTCCGTCTATCTAGCTAGCTTACATAACTCTGGTTGGATCGTAACAATTTGTTGCCAGTATTACACTGGTAGAAGGAGGGAGGACGGACGAATGGGCCGCTTGGCTGGTCGCGGTACTTGGCTTTCATCCACTCAATGGCGCGCTTCTTGCTCGGTTTCGACTTGGTTGGAAGCAGACATTATGACTTGATGAGTGCGGTAAGGAAATAAGTAAGTGGTTGTGTGTGTTGTTTGAAGGAAGGGGAGTTGAAACGTATGTTGGGACTTGCTAACCTTCTTTGAAGTCGAGAAATTCTGAGACCCGTTCGGGACGAGTGTGAGAAGATGGATTTGGTTCGTGGAGTTTTAGAAGTGTGACGAGGCCTGAGTAGAGGGTCGGGTACAGAAGAACACTTGTCGATGGTGATATTGAAGTAGTAAGCCGCGGCGAAGGTCGACATTTTTTATTGAAAGAAACAGGGAGCTTCCACTGGTGATTAGATGGAAAACCCATTCACTCTAACTCCAACAACAAGTGAAGGCAACAGCAACAGGTGAATATGACTTGTAACTCTCATACGCACAAGAACGCATTTCTGTATGTTACAACGTCAAGCTCGGCGTCATTACCAAAGTCTTCTCGGACATGGTCTTGGCACAAGAGACTGTTCACACCATGTAAACCATTGTGGCATCAATGGTGCAGCGAAGGAACATGATCTTTCTCGCAAGTATTGATGCTATCGCGGACATTGGCACTGCACATATTGCTGACTTGGGCGAGAAAGTCAATCTCAGATGGACAATCTCCCTCTCCGTGGCTCGCTGCTTGTGGAAGTTCCATCACAGCGGGTTCGCGTTGGTGAGGAGGGTGGTGATAGTGGCCATTTCAGGGAAGTGCAGGCAGAACCAAAGGTTGACCCAATTATCGCCGACTGAGTCTGTCTCGAAAACAAGATTCGCGAGTACTGCCACCGCAAAGAAGTTAGCGGGATTTGAAGTGTTTGTCTTGCCCTTGCCCTTTTGGGTATTTCGTCGCTCAGGTTGTTTGGGCTACTTGGACAGAGGTAGAGGTGGCAGTCGTCTCGGCAGAGCAATTGGCGGTATTCGCAGTGCCCGTACTTGTCCTTGTCCTTGTGCTGTCCGTAACAGACGAGGTATTGCCTTCGCCCTTTTGGGCGGTAGCTGGTCTGGGCTGCGCAGTCCGGGCTGTGGTGGAGGTATTCACAGGGGTGGCTGCCCCTGGACATATGTCGCGGCGCCTGGGTACTGCCCTTCCACCTTTTAGGTAGACAGCAATACCGGTCGTCTGAAGCAAATTAGCTTCTCTGGTGTGTGCGTACTCGTAGGCAGGCAGACGTCGGGTATTCATTTCGTTGAAATGTGTCGGTGGTGTTGTTGGGATCGTGTCTACCATTGTGGTGTTGGTTGCTTTAGTCGTTGCAGTCGCGATGGTGACTAGAAAGTGGAGAAAGGAAAGATGGCAGCTGATTGACCGCAGGTAAATGTTGTCTCTTGGCCAGTCTCCAATCATTTCCTTGAATACCAGATACGTTGTGTTGTGTTGAGTTCAACGGCGTAGTGGTCGAGGTTGAAGCAAATTGACCCAGACGAGGGTCGGGATTCAGCGAGTCTTGACGGTTGCGCTGGTAAGCTGTGATCTTGAAGTACGCTGATCATCAACCCTGAGGTACTTTATTGTTATAGGTTTTATGTGGGAGCTAAATGAGGACCCGAAGGGACGACGGGAGCGGAGTGTCCGAGAGGGGTAGTGACGGAGCGTAGATCAGGTTTTGCGTGCACAGCGCGTGGGAATCTAGAGTATAATGGCAGTTGGCATGCTTTTAAGTAATTGCTCTCCAGAAACTAAAACAGCAACAGAGTCTCAAAGCATATCCACCCCGTACTCAAGTGCCATTGGGAACGTAGAAAGCGGGAGTGTCCATGGACGGTGGAAGAAACATTTCGGCGCGGGGCACAGGGGCAGTCCACCCGACCCGAAATGTGGGTCCAACCTCAACACCAACAAACACTGGCCCCGTGGATCACGACTTTCCTCTTTCTTGGTCTGCAGCGGCGGGTGCCAAAGTTTGATCCCCACCGAAAATCCCAAAGGCGCAATAAAGGTGGATGAACATCACGCGCACATGCATGCACTTATACAGTTATGCACACCCACAGAAAACCCCATGATCAATGCTGGTTATCAACTCAGGAGACACCAACCAAACCCTCACACCAGACCCATTTCTCTGTGGACTGATGACTGCATGCATTAACAATACTCCTACATGGCTAATTTAATCCAAAAATGTAACCTTTACATCTCTATTTAATCTGAGCACTGTCCACCTTCGAGGTTCTCTCCCTTCAACCTTTCAACTACCAATATGACATTTCTTGCAACCATCTTAATCTTACATACCCCTATCTTTACACTTCCGTGTAAGATTCAACGAAAAAGACCACCAATGCCTCTTCTGATGGAGAGCTACACCTGATGTCCATGAGCGCTGAAATCGACCCCCATCAGCTTCGTCGTCCAAACATGGCGTCCGAACTCCCAAGTTGCACCTTCGAGGCCCAGAGAGCTACACCAGCTCATGTGAGGAGTCTTGAACAGGACAATGTGAAGGTACGCAATGTCTCAAATACCTGCACTCATTATTTCCTTCCTATGCGGCTCTGAAAGGACTTCTTGCCACTCGATGTCAAATTCGCTCCCAGTATCCCTGCCTTTGCTCCGCTGCTAACATTGTGTTCAGTCAACGTGGCTAGTACCTAGCCCTCGACTCAACTTCTATGCCGAACTGCGCTTGAGCTGCTGGACATCGAGACTGCTGCCGACTGGGAGATCGCTACAAACCAAGTCACCGACCCAATGGTAGTCTAGATGGCTGGCTTCGCGGCTTGGAAGGCTGCTCAGGGGCATGGCGATCCCTTTGCCATTTGCTCCTGTCGCTGCAGCTATTTCTCCCCGCTGCTACTCCCGCGACGCCGCAGGTTATCCAGCCTCAACCTCAGTTTGGTGGCAGTGTCGGTTCAAGCTGCGTCCCCGCTGCTCGCTGGTTTCCCGGCTTGAGGCTCGACTCTGATCGACAACCCTACACCCCCGGCGACCGAATTCCTCAAATCTCTACCTAGTTGAGCCGTTTTGGTTGGTTTCCACCCTCAGGCAACCAGTCGTCGGTTCCTATACGATGAAGGAGTCCAACAGTCCACAAGATACTGGACAGCACACTTCCGACGCAAGAAAATCCAGCGTGAAAAAGGGGGCGAAAAGGACAAAAAAATAATTTGGTAAAGACTGCGACTTTCCCCGGTTTCAAACGCGGTAGTTGATAGAGTGAGCGCCAGCTCCCCCTCGGTGGGGGCCCAACACTACTACCGCTGCGCCATGAGACCCCTCGGGCTCGTCCGTCTTCTGGTGAGGCCTCGTTATTGGAAGAATGTTCGTTGGAACTACTATATATACCCCCTTTGCTTGTTGGGGCTGATGATTGGCTGTGCTCAAGGTGTTTGTACGAAGACACGGCTTGGGGCCGGGAAGCGACTTTGGATGAAACGGTTGGTGAGGGTCGAAGCACTTCCAAATGGAAGGTGCGGAAAATATGGTCGGGCAGCTCCGAACTGTCCCTTGGGATTTAGTTGTGGCCCCTTTCATCGATTCCAAGTACACGAGCACAAGAAGCTCGCCCATACGGCGCTCTTTCACTAAACCAAAATTCCGGCTAGCTTTGAGGGAGTCTGTTGGTGACGGCTATATCGCGCGCGCTGTCTCAGAGTAGCAGGTTGGAACAAGCCTAGCCTCGACGCACTGTCACCCCATCGGCCGACCGACCACCGTCCGAGTCGTGATTTTTAACGAAGCGCACGATGCTTGAGACAAAAAGAAACTGCTAGTAACAGCGGTTCGGGCGCTGAAGTACGATCACATCTTTATACTAACCGCCCCGGCACTCTCATCTATAATCGCCAGCATGACATCCTTTCACAATCTCCAAAGTTTCCCTGCCCGCCTTTTGATGACAGAAAGGGGAAACCAAGCCAGATCTTCCAGAGCTTCTTCCCGTATCACAGTCCGAGGTCACTCTCGCCTGGCGTGACAAGGGCAGAGTTCTGGGCTTGGAACAAGGGTTCAATTCAGCTGATAAACTACTTTGGTCTCGAAGGCCTTGTTGATCCTTTTAACCTTCAACCAAAAGCTGGGTTTCAAGGCCTTCTTATGCCAAGGAGGTGTGGTACGTACTGAGGTGGGTGCCGAGCCTTGTCGCCTAATGCCTCGAGGTATCTATCTAGCGGTCTTCATGTGGATCTTCCTGAGTGTTTTTTCACCCATTCTCCTTCTTTCCTCTAGCATCGGCCTCTGTCCGGTCGTCATTGTGGCCCAGCAGTCACTGGAGCTGAACGTACGCATGCACGGGCTGACCTGTCTTTCATGCACATTGTATAACAGTACATATCTCACCATGCCCCTAACGGTGCCCTCTCGTCCCGTGATGAAAGGGGAACCTCCGGATGATGCTCAGCGCCATCGGCAGTCAAGGCTAATGCAAAGTGTTGAGGTTCTGTTAAGCCTCGGAACATCTAACCCAGAACTGTGGGCAAATGTCCGTGTGACAATGATCACCAAACTCGAAGGCTGGGTTCAAGAAGATGTGGACACTAAAGGAGAGGAGATTCGCCAAGAGATAGAAGCAGAGGTTGAAGAACGTGTCGAACAGCAGACCGACAAGGTCCTGGCCAAAATCAGCGCCTTCGCGGCGGAAGTCAGGCAACTGAGGAGGGATACCCAACAAAGGCTTAAGGATCAGGATCAGCTCTCGACCGAGGTTGGTAGGCAAGTCCTGGGCGGGGTGGCTCACATTGTCACTACCGAGGTCACGAAAATGTCGGCAAAGAGACAGTTGGACGGGTTCGAGCTTGCAGTTGGAGATATCCTGGACAAGTTTGCCCACGAGATGACACAAGACAAGATGTTTCGGATATTCAATACTCTACAGACAAAGCCCATGAGTGCGGCTCTGTATAATATCTGTGGCGCCAGATCGCAAGTCGACTTGCAGCGGGGTTTGGTGGAAGAGTGGAAGCGGGGTTCCTAAGTGTGTATAGGTGAGAGGCAGGAGGTGGGGTTTTTGGGGGGAGGGGGTAGGTACGAAGCATGCACCCCATTATCTTTTGCCTGAATATTTCTTGGTTCGATTATTGAGCAGATCGGCGATGATGATAAATGATACCCATGCAGATTCGAAAGCGGTATTTGGTCTAATTCTGAGAAGCTTTACGATGCCACTAAGAGAACTTGGAGGTCTGCTCTGTGCATTGAAGCAACTGAAAAGACAATTCTTTGGCGTGCACTTCGTGATCAAGCCCGATGCTATAGTGTTGGTTTATTAGCTCAATAGTGTTGCCAGTGATACTCCCGGTGTACTATTGATGAGGTGGATGGCTTGAATTAAGCTTTTCGACTTTGATGTTAAGTATATTTCGGGG